ACAAATGCATGGGTCATACTGGTATATATCATGTCCTTTGCTGAATTAATGAATAAATGAATGATGTCTTCATTGTGCTATTGTGATAAGTAACAACAATGGACAGTGTATGTAGAGTACCTAGCACAGTGTCTGGCACAGAGTAGATATTCGTTCATTTGATTTTTGTTTGTATTACACTGGAATAAAGTAAAGTTAGTGTTAGAGGAAGGGCCAGGATTCAGGACTCTGGACTCCCACAGTGATATTTAAAATGCACCTACCTATGGATTAGATTTACAGGATCATAGAGCTATAAGGAGCTTGAGATACTAGTAAGGAAATTTAGGTTCACTGGCGGCCAAATGATGTGTCCAATATTAGGACCCAAGTCTCATAGTTTTGTGCTCCCCAATTCTACCCACAAATTTCTCAACCAACCACTCTAGCTCTATACTGTCTTCATTTTCTATCTCCAGTTGATGGATCAGACCAAATCCTTCCCTGTGTTGTATATCTCAGTAGATTGTGGATAGCCACGTATTAATCAAAGACCATGAAAGGAGGAACCAAGGACTCTAGAGCATAGATAAAATGGACATAAGGTTTCTGAGCCAAGCACCCACCAAAGGGAATCCCAGCAGCCTGGAGCCACAAAATGGCCAGTGTCTTGGGCACAGTGATGAAGGTGAGACCCAGGAGGGGTGAGTGAGAGAAGACAAAGGAATAGATACATGGACATATAAAGAGTACTGCCCATCACGATGACTAGGGTCAGAGCAGCACTCCCAGCCAGTCTCACCAGGTGCATGGCACAAAAGGGGGCAGTAATGCACGTGTGGGCAGCCTCCAGCCCTGGGATCCCCTCAGGATGAAAGTTTCAGGGAGGCTGTCAACAGTGACGTTGGAGGCTGTCAGCATCCTAATTTGATGTCAGCAGGCACTGCAGCTACTACTTCAGGGGGAAGAATAACTAGCACAAAACCCCATTATTAGAGGACCTATTCTTTCTACATGGCTGAAGAGGCCTCACAGGCACCTCTCAGACATTATCCAGTAAAGAATACTTCTGCTCCCTTCACCTCTCTTCACCATATCGTGTGTCAGAGAGTCTAGCTTCCCTCCCAACATCTTCTTTTGGGGATGATGTTTGCTATTTCTTTTCTCTTTCTCCTTTCTCTCTATTATCACTTAAGACAGAGCCTAGGGCATAAAATCATCATCCCACAAGACCAAAAATCAGCAGCCCAGTGGGAGAGGAACTGGATGCTTTTGACTTTACTCCAGTCCAAGAAATTGAGTTAACTATACAAGGTATATCCTCTCCAATGTCAGTGATCTTGGTGACTCATCCCTGTCCACTTCCCTTGTCCAGCACTGCATAACCCTTAGGCACTTTTTTAATATAAAGAGTCAAGTCAGAATATATCTGACTAGACGTTATTCTCCACACAGGGCAGACAGAGGTAGACTTCAGGGAGACGGACACATCTCAGTGCTTTAGTGACTATACTTTTATTCATGGACTATATTCTTTCATATATTTTTAAATGAGTTCAACAGATATCTTTTTCTTGTTCCTCTGCTCCCTGGTATAGCTGACAAACTCAAGAATTCTGCATCATCCCTTTGATATATCTGTCCATCTTTGCTCAACCCTAGGTCTTGTTCCCATTGCCCCTTCTGAAGAAATTATTCCACAAACCACCAACTCTGATCCATTGGTTCCACCCTCCGTAAGATTCCACACTCTGGGCAGACCTTTAAGCCTTCCCATCACCCTTATCTGAATTCAAACCTTCGTACTCTGACCACATTCTGTTTCCTTAATGGCCATTTTGAATCCTGCACTCTCATCATCTGATCCTCTGTGTGGCGCACAGAATGAGGGTGCTGGTATCGTGAAAACCAGCTTAGAAATTCTACCACACGTGTGTGGGAAGTCACTTAACCCCTCTGAGCCTGTTTCTTTAGCTGTAAAATGAAAATAACACCCCATATCTTTCAGGAATTTCTAAGGAATAGCTGTACTCTCTCAACAGAGAAAGGCTCCCATTGCTTCCAGAATGGTTGCTAGCTTTGTTATTATTCCCCGGCTGCCTGGGTTTCTCTCAGGTTCTCCACCATGGAAGAAATTTCAAGGAGTCACTTTCTGAATTTCTCATTTTTTTTTTACTCCCAGTGAAAGCTAACACTGACATTTAAGATCTTAAATGTATTATATTAAGCAAAACAGTCAAGAATTTTAGTTACATTACCTATAAGAAGAACTGAAGTCATTTTATCACAATTTATAATTTTCATTTTTCTTTATATTTCTGTATGTGAATAAATGTCTGTGTGCTGACTAGATGCCTGCGATTGAAACTGTGTATGATTTTGTGATATACATCTACAACCGGCAGGCATCCGATTAATAGTTGCTATTGAGTAGAAATAATTCATCTCTGTGCTTCTCTCATTACGTAAGACTGAAAATTCAGGCATAAGGCTATCACATTCTCTTTTCTACAGTACTATTGCTGTAGGACTGTGTGATATCCTCCATGTGAACTAGCCCAACTTTAGTTTACAATTCTACCATATGTCTCATTAACCACATTTTTCATTGTATATTATTCTGCAAATTGATGCATGTATAAGAGAGCATTGTGGGATTCAGTCCATCCATTCTGCCCAGCATCCCTCCTCCTTCCCTAAACTTTTAATCTCACTCCAACACTGGTATTACAGAAAAAACAGTTTAGCAGAGATCTCCCACAGACAACCCTCTTTTCCAATTTTGGATTTTCCAAGAGCATCTCACCTCCCTTTGTCCTGCCTAAAGAGATAATATGAGATGCAGGGACCACACGGTTGCAGACACTTTGGCACAGGGATTGAGCTGTGCCCTATGCACTGGGCTGATGCCCTAGGGATCTAGCACAGGACTGTTCTTCTCCATAGTTCCCTCTTGCTGACCAAAGTTCAGCTTTCGTAACCACAGGTAACAGACAGACAGAGGATTCTGCAGCTTACTCCTACTCCACTCCTGAGAGCTCCTTCGTTTTTTTTTCTTTTTTTTTTTTTGACTCTTTTGTAATCCTAAAGCTAGAATACAATAGTTCCAAGAGGGGGAAAGCAATTTGTAGAAGCCAGTAACTGCTATCAGATTGGAGGTAGCAGGGTCCAGCCCCCAGGAAGATTACTAACATTATTGTCAAGGTGTGTTACTCCACTGAGGTATTGATCACTGGAGCCAGCATGATGGAGGAGGGTGAAGCTTTCTTCTAGGATCCCAGAATACTGCCCTGCCCATCGCCCCAACTCTATCCCCAGGAATCTCCCTCATCACAGAGACCAAGCATGCATCACTGATCTTAGAAATACAGACCAATATTCTGGTGGCTACAGGCAAATGAAGAGTAAACTGTGTACCAGGCTCACTGCTGGGAAGTGGAGTCCAAAAGATGTTTTATACACAGCCCTTGACCTCCACAACCTCAGGTCTCTTGGCTCATGGGCATCACAACACAGTTAAGTCAGAGTGTCTATCTGAGAGACATCAGTCCTCTCCAGCCCCCAGGAAGCATGAGATTCAGCTATTTCTCAGCCCAACCTCAATTGACCCGAGTCTGGCTCTGAATTTTAATCCCTGGTTTCCCCTAAAGCAACTCCATCAACATGCTCTCTCCTTTCTCATCACTTTTTATCCTACTCCATAGTTACAGGTAGCCACTGGTCCTCTGAAGAATGTTCCATCCACCTACACCATGTGTCTCCTCACTGATATTAGAAGTTTACAGAAGAGAATGGATAGATTAAGAATGGATTAATGACTTTTACTAAGACAAAGAAACCACGGAATTTAGGAAAGAAATGGGGGGCCAGTGGAAAGATGCTAAGCTATACTTGGCTATGCTGAGCCAGAGCTTCCTTTGGGACACCCAGACAGGTTAGCAGTACACATAGACTCAGAGATTTGGGAACTGCGAACATAAGACTAAAAACCAGAGCCAAGGAAATGGTCAAACTCTTTGAAGGATGACTAGAGAAAGAATTGGTGTAACATACTCTCAGGAAGCATCACTTTATAAGAGAATGGATAAGAAAATATATAAAACTAAGCAGCTTAAAGAAGGATCAGTGTATCAGGTACGGTAGAAACATTTAGGAAGATTAGGAATGGGCAACAGTTTTGAGAAAGATTCTGCTCTGTCCTGTGGACAAGTCCCTGACTGCAGAGGATGGTGAAATGTGACCAATGGAAGGGGAGGCACTTTCAAGAAATTCAGAGATGAAAAGAAAGATCAAGTTCTGTAGCTGAATAGGCAGCAGAGTCGAACATTTTGTAGATAAAGGAAAGAAACCTGCAGAGGAGGAGAGGATGGAGCTTCCAAATTAGTGGAGGTGGACCTTGTGTAAGGGCAGGATCCTGGCACAAGCAGATATTGGAAGAGCCGTAACTGAGAGGGAAGTTAAACACATTTCCTACAACATCAAGAGGCTGGATCTAAAGACCGAGAAACATGGTCAAAGGCTGAGTGGCTTTCAGAGGCCGTGAAGAAATTCATGACTTCCTGGGGGATCAAAAGCCAAGATTCTTTCCGAGTCACTGCAGAGTTGTGATAGGGTGGCGATAGCAGTGTTGGTGGGGGAACTGGGTTGCTAACTGAGCAGGAGTAGAGATAAGGAAAAGAAAGCTCAGTATTTCCCTACCTCATGTTCAAATTTAGAAAATACTCTGAGATCAGGGGTATGAGAATAGGTGAAGCCCAGACTCAAGATCGCATAACATGATCAACCCCTTGCCCAAACAACATTCTCTTTGCCCACCCAGCCCCCAAATCGACACCACATTTGAGATCCAAGCAATCTTTTTTTTTTTTAATGTAGAACAGGCTTGGGCAGTGAGGGGAGGCTCTAGCAGTGTGCACAATATGAGCAGGAGGAATTCCCAGAATAAGCTACTTCTTCCCCTCCCCTTCCCTTTCCTCTCTCCTCTCTGCGGGTGGTGCATTGTGGGCACCAGCTGGAGGGAACTAGGCCTCTGGTACCCCCAGCAGCCTCTCAATGGCAGCATGGATGTCTCCACCTGTGGCCACCAGGGCCTGAAGATTGGCATCACGATTAGCAAAGCCCATGGCCTTCAGATGCTCCAGTCCTTGCTGGTAGCAGCTGTCAGCGAGGGGGCACGAGGACAGGGAGGACTGGGTAGACTGGGAGCAAGCATTGGCCAGTGCATGGAGGAGCTGAAGAACGGCCAGTGTGGGTTGCACAGGGTCTGCTCTGTGACCTTGTCCTCCACCCCTAGTTTCAGGAGCTCCTCTAGCCCCATATGGTCTACCTGGACCCCATAAACAAGGTCCCAACCCAGGCACCTCCCTGGACAGTATCTGCAGGCCCTTTTCTATCTGGATCAATGCCTGCAGTGCCTGTGGGTTGGTGAGTATGGGAAGCAGTGGCATATGGTGTCGCAGGGGGCTGTCGGTCACCAGCTGGCGCAGCAGAGCTGGATTCTGCTGCAGGACATGCAGAGCTCTGCGCAAGGCAGAGGGTGAAGGTCTCAGCTGACTGGCTGGTGTGGCTTTCCCTATGGGCTGTTGGCTCTCCTGGGAGGAAAGATCCTGGCCCGAATTTAAGTCCGACATCCCAGTCCTGCAGCCTGAATTGGCCTGGTTTGAGACCATGCCCCTGACTTGAGCAACGACTCCTACTCTGACCTCCTGTGCCGGTGGCCTGGCAGGTGCAGCGGCTGTGGGGACGGTGGTGGCGTTTGTGTTAGTACTGCTGTGAGGATTGGCGCCCCCTCTGCTGGGCTCTGAACTTGGGCCATGGCCTTTGGAAGCAGCCAGTGAGGCCAGAGTGGAGAGCATGAGGTGCTGGATATCAGAGCAGACTGGATGTGTGGCATTGTCACCACCTGGCACTGCCTTCAAGGCCTCCAGTCCCCACTTGTCTGCCTGCAGGAGTTCCGGTGGCTGGGCCGGGTTCTGCAAGTTTTCCAGAGCCTTAAGAGCCGGCTCAGGTTTGTGTACTGGCTTTGAGGAGTCAGGAATGTGGCTGGCATTGGCTAGCTTCTCACTTACCAGGCCTTGAACCATAGGGTCTTCCGAGAGCTGCACCACGGCCTCGGGCGCAATCAACAGGAGTTGCGCTAGCTGGCCAAGGAGGTCCGCCAGATCAGGAGAGCCCTGGGCCAGCCGGCCCAGCCTGGCTAGCATCCCAGCACTCTCCGAGGTGGATGGTTCTGAATGATGGGCACAGTGTCCAGTGGGACCTGGCAGAGCGCCGGGACCGGGCTGAGTTCCTTTCACACGAGACCTCACTACCAAGTGGACCGTAGTGCCATCAAGGATGCCTTGCTGGCTCAGTATGTCTTGATCCCGGAGGATTTTTCCTGTGAAGATGAGCACCAGTCTGTCAGAGTCACAGTGAAGGCGTTTGGAGATCTGCTTCTTAAAGTGGTGGATGCTGCTGTTCTCCTCCAGCATAAATTCTTGGCAGTCCTGTGGGGTCTTGACAGACACTCTGATAATGCGTGATGGTGGCTCCTGACCAGACACCAGCTGACCTTCCCCTGCTTCTTCTCTAGCCTGTGCCATATTTCCTCAAGAGCAGAATGCAGGAGTCTGAAGAAGTCTAGATGTAGTACCGAGTACACCTGGACGCAGGGACCAGTAGGTGTACAATGATGTCCTCTCACCCATGTCCTGTGGACACCGCCTTCCAGTGTAGCCCTCCCACCACCTGGCTCCCATGAGGTGGCAGCTGCCCTTCTCTAGAGCCAGCCTTAGGGGAGATGATGTCAGCGATGAAGTCACAGTTGAGAAGTAGACCTGGTTAGGGGAAGGGCAGTGGTCTCTACCACCTGCCAGAGGTTGGCTTTCTTTAAGATTTGATTTTAGTAATGCCTCAGCTGGGAGCTTGTTACAAATGTAGACTCTCAGGCTGGAACCCAGATGTACAGAATCATTATTTTCATTTTAGCACACCCTCAGATGGTCTCTGTGCCCAGTACAGTTTGAGAAGTGATGCCCTATATTACTAGTGAAGTTGGAACCATTCATCTACAGAACTGATACTTAAACAAAACCTAAGAAGAAAGCATATCTTGTATAATGTAGTTTATATTAGGGTTCAGGTTACAATATACTATTCTGATTCACAAAGGTATATGTATACATAGTTTCTACAATTTTTGGGGGGGTAATTAGGCTTATTTATTTATTTAATAGAGGTACCAGGGATTGAACCCAGGACCTCATGCATGCTAAGCATGTGCTCTACCACTGAGCTGTACCTTCCCCCCAACAAAGAGATATTATGGGACCTAGAGCAATTACAGTTGTTGATTTACAGTCAGAACAGTTGAGACATTTTAACTGGACTTCAAATGTTCAAACAAACTTCACTGTATATAGGAAAATAAATAGTTCGATTACCCTTAGCCAAGATTACTATTGGAACGTTAGCTTTCTGAAAGTGTTGGTATGTATATATTTCAAGAGCATTAAATTTTGAAAGTGAAAAAAGTATTTTATTTAAATAACAAAAGAAAAAATTTAAATGTTCCTGTCTAAAACCATGTTTTGCATTAGCCCCTTGCATGGTTGAAAATCATACCACTTGAGTTTGATAAATGAATATAGTTCAGGAGAAAACGCATTAGTCCAAGAACTAGCTTAGGAAGTGCTAATTCTAGTCAGCTATCTTCTACTAAATTACTGTATACCAACCATGCCTCGTTCAAGGTCTCAAGTTGTTGTTTCTATATGAATGGAATAAAGACATGTATAATTAGCCCATCCAGCTTCACTGGGATCTTGAGGCCACTTGCATCTCTAACACTCACCAGGTGGGTGACCCATCCATACAGTTCTAAGAAAGCAGCAGCATGTCCTCCAAGAACTTGGGGGGAAAGGTGCTCTCTCAGCTTCCGCAGGATCAAAGATGAGACAAAAGAAATGAATGAGAAAGCAACAGGCTGACCTTAGGTCTTCACGACTTTAACAATTACTAGATATAAAGTATATTTGAGGAGGAGAATTGTCACCTGGGAGGGGACATATTCTGATGTAAAGCAGATTACTAGTGACTCCCTAAGGCACTGACTGCTCCAGGCAGGTTAGGCCTAAGAGTAAGGTCTGTCTAATCCCTGCAACAATTACATTTTTTATTGTGAAGATGGATACGTGGGGTTGTTTAGGCTTTTGCCGTTATACACCTGACCCCTTTTTCTGATTCTACGATTTCAAAGGACTGTAAAATTAGAATCCAGTTGCCTAAAATGCCACCTCTAGAGGATTCTGGTAGATGTGGGCAGCATGAACATCTAGATCTTTCTACACTACTTTGTCGATTAGATATTAATATAATATTCCTGATTTCAGTTAGTTTGAATTGGCCCTCTTCCACGTCCAATCAGTATCAAGACCTTGATAAGTTGTAATTTCTGAGTTCAAAAGACCTTTTCAGTCCCAGTAAATGTCCCAGAGTGAGCCTCACGGCTGGTTGCAGCCAGCAGCCTAGTGGGACTTTCCTAGTAATGCCCGGGCCTCAGGACAACTTCTGTTACACAGATATCAGTGCCAAAATCAGTTCCCATCGGGCGTTCCATTTGGGTTGCCCTCAGCAGAATCAGATATCCAAATGAATGTTTCTGAATTTTCCTTAGCTGGTGCATTAATGTGTAGCAGGCACTGAAGAACATTCCAGATAATGATTGTCCGTGATCACCTTCGAATATCTCATGGTTCCAGGTTTTTTTTTTCCCCTCATAGTCTTTGAGGTGACCCGCCCCTTCATCATCTCCCCTACAGGCTCTACAACTGGTGCCTAAACGTCTGCTGCCCGAGCTGATGGTCTTCCCAGACCATTCCTACACTTGCGTCTCAAGGCAGGAGTCCAGTCCACACAGTCCACCGAATTCTTCAATACAAGAACCACACTTTATCCCTCCTGAAGGGCTAGCATCATTTGAATATTTTATATTGTACATATACTCCTTTTATAACTATAAAGTAAAGTAAAATAATTAACTATTTATTTAATTAAACTTTACTATTAAAAAAGAAAAAGGGGAGCTTGGCATCTCTAGGGTCCAATAGTCCTGGTTTAAATCTCACAGCCACCACTTCATAACTTTGGCAAGCACTTATCCTTTTTAAGCCTGGTCTTTATCATTTATAATATGGTGATTCTTCACAGATTTGTTTTGAAGAATTTGTTTATAAAGTGACACCCATGGTACCTGGCACAGAGCAGACACCTGTTAAACACTGAGGATTATGTTCACACCACAGGCAAGGCCAATCTTTGACAAATTCTGTGGTCAGGTCCGTAACGGGATGGGGAGGTGCAAAGAACAGACATGTCTGTCAGGGCTGACTGAATCCCCAGGGACATATTCAGCAGCAGACAGCAAAGACAGCTCCAAGCACACTGGTGAAGAAAGCATCATATCCAGAAACTTACCGTCAGGCTAAGGGCTCCAACCAGACGCAGTAGAACACTGACTTTATGTGTTTGAACTGAAGTTCACTATATTTAAGATCTAATTTCTAGAAAATATATTGCATTTCCATCTTTTGCACAGAGACTGGTTAAAGTTTGTCCATCTTAGCTGCACTTTCACTAGATGCATCAAACGGTGTGAAGCGATCGCTGTCATGTGCAGTTTCAGTGCTTTTTGCCAGAATTTTCCTTCTGAAAAATCCAGTGACAGTTTTATTTGTTTGTTTGTTTGTTTGTTTATTTATTTGTTTGTTTATTTTTTAACATGGAACTGCCACCTGGGAGAAGACGGCTCCTGGGTGGCTATGCTGCAAGGACTCCCAGACAATGAGAAATGCCTGATTCTGCCCAGTTGGTGAGCTGCAGTTTCCCTCCTGTATACTCTGAGTAGATTTGTGTTAAGGGTGGCTTGTAATAATGAGTCTGTTTAATTAAGCCTAAGAAGAGCCGCTGATGGGAGTAGCAAAGGCTACGTTTGGAATATCAGCATCAGAATAAAATACAAGCTCGGTATCTAGCTACAAAGCCCCCCATGGCCACATTCCCACCAGTCTCCTTAACTTCCTGATGTGGAGTTTCCCCTTTCTTACAAAAGCTGGCCACACTGGCTCCCCTGCTGTATCTGGAACGGCCAGGCGCCTTCCCACACCTAAGGTCATCGCATTAGCTGTGGCCTAAGTCTTTAACGCTTGACCACTAGTCTTTACAAGAGTCACTCTTCTTAACCATTCAAACCATCTCTTCCCAGAGGTCTTCCCAACCATTCACTCTCTTATCGGTCTGTTTTCATTATCTGCATAGAACTTATCTTTCTGTCATATTTCTTCTTCAGTCACTCATTTTATTTTTCTGTCTCCCTTCACTAGACTGTAAGCTCCATGAGAACAGGAACCTTATCTTACTTGCTACTAGAACCCCAGTGGCAGCAGGTTACTAAATAAAATAAGTGTAGGAAGGAGGAAAAGAAAGGTGGGAGGGAGGGAGGTGGAAACAAAGAGAAAAGACGATTCAATGAAACACCTGGACAATGATTCATTGTCATGGGCGGCTAGGATGTTTCGCTTACCTAAATGTCCAGCAATAGGATAGTCTGGGAGGAAGAAAAATTCCTTTACTCTTCTGGGTTCACTTTCTATGGGTAAGGATGAAAACATTAGTTAACTTGATTTGGTGTGCTGGTTAAGAGTCTAGACTCCAGAAGTTGACTGTCTAATTTTAAATCCTGCCTGCAATATACAAGAGCTGTATAACTTTAAGTGACATACTGCCTCTCTCCCTATGCCTCAGTGTTCCTCATCTGAAAGCAGGGATAATAATACTTACCCGCATTAAAGGACTGATGTGGATTCAGATGTAAAGGGCTTAGAACAGGGCCTGGCTAGAGGAAAGCCTCAATAACGTTAACTATAATTTAAAAGTAAATATAAGTAGTGAAACCCTAAAATATCCAGGAAAAAGTGCATGCAGGTATTTATGGCAGATATATTAGAGGAGTATCTTTCAAACCTTTTGGGAAGCATCCTTGAATGCAAATGAGAAGTTTGTCTGAGATTCGGAGAGCAAGTCCCATGTGGCATGCACACCCTCCCTCTGTGCCTTTGTGCAGAAGGGCTCTTCTGCTGGAACTCTCTTCCCTCCCCTCTCAAATCTTTACCTACTTCATTTTTACCACTTTTTACTCAGGCTAGTGGTAGAGAGCCCCAAAGAACACAGAGTAGCTGGTGACAACTCCTACAGGACATGAAATCTGGAGGACCTTTGGAAGGACACCAGGAAAGCTGCAAACCTTGGCTCACTCTCCTCTGTTCTCCGTGCCTCTGAATCTTAACTTCAGATCTTTCAGTTTTCCCTCCAAGCCCTTGTATCCACACAGGCAGCTCTTACCACCGCCTCTTCTCCTGTGTCCTCCCTTTTTCTCATAACCCACAAAGAATCACAGTCAGGCAGCAAATGACACTGGAGATTGGATGTAATTGCATCTCAGGATAGGCATGAGCAGAGCTCAGATGGGGGCCCCATGATGATACAGTGGCAGGGGCGGTTGGGTCTCTCATGGCACCCCCACCCTGTTCTGGCTCTCATTCCTCCTCACTGACTCTGGAACAACATTGTCTCCACAGCAAAGAGCATCATAGTAAATTTTGTTCATAGTGCAGCTGCATTCAAGAATCGGGGAGGTAAGGGAGCGGGACACGGGGGGAGAGGTGCACAGAGGAGAAGATATGGTCCGAACGACCAGGGCTCCTACAAATGCCTCAGCTTCTCCACAGCAGCATCCACATCACCCTCTGTGGCAATGAGGGCCTGGAGATTGGCTTCAGGATTCAGAAAGCCCATGGCCCGCAGTTGCTCAAGCTGTACCTGGAAGTGAGTCTCGGTCTGCCGCTGCTGGGGATGGGAGCCAGTGAGGGATTGCAACATCTGGAGGAAGGGACTGGAATGGAGGCCCAGCTCCACAGAGCCTGGAGCTGAGGGAACCTCAAGAGCTGGGGCTGGAAGGCAATCTTCAGGCATGAGGGCACCCTCTCTGGGCTCGGTACCTGCTGCCATGCTTCCCAGACCTGTGAGGCAAGGCATGAACCAGAGCAGGAGGCAAGGTGCTTCAGTAGCCAGGATCTGCAGACCCTGCTCAATCTGCAGCAGGGCATGCATGGCACGAGGGTTGGCCATGGCTGCCTGAAGATGTAGCAGCAGCGGCAGCTGCCAGCGCATCTCGTCCTGCAGCTGTGGGGTCTGATTCATGCTGGCTGGCCTCAGAGATCTCAGATAACCTGGTGGCGGCAACCAGGCATGCTCAGGGAATTCTGCCATAGCTGCTGTGGGAGAAGGTGGTGAAGGAACAAATGGGGCCCTGCTGGCAGCATTCCCCAGCCCGGAGACAAGATCAGATATGTTGGTGCTGTGGCCAGTGGAGCCATTCCCTGTGCCACTTTGGCCTCCATCTTTTCTCATACTGCTCTCTGTGGGGTATCTCAGGAATGCTGGGCAGGACGACTTTCCCTTGATTGCTACTGACTCCTTGGGGATAGGCTGGCCTGATGGGGAAGTTGGAGGAACTTGGCTTCCTCCTGGTGGTGATGGTGGTGGTAGATCTTGGCTTGGGCTGAAAGTAGATGCAATCCCCTGCAGATAGGTTCCCAGGGACTGGGGGTCCTGGGGTAATTGCTGGAAATAGTCATTGAGCCCTATATTACCTAGAATGTTGGGAAACCTATTTCTAATTTCAGATACATTCAGGTCCCCAGGCCTTCTGCCTCGCCTGCTGCCTGAGCCTGTGTATGTGGAAGCCCAGGGGTTGGGGAGAGGGTCACAGTTCTCTGTCCTTGAAGGTTGGCTGCTGCTGCTGCTGGCATTAGCAGCCACGGAGGTAGCAAAGGGATTGCCCCCAAACTGCTCCTGTACTGCGTTAAACATAGGGTCCATGATATCTGTGTACATGGTACGGAGCACATTGTAGCCACCAGGGATGCTCTCCAGGTTGCTGAGTGCCCGGTCCTGGCTCCGCATCATTTCTTGCATCATGGCAGGGTTGCGTAGAAACTCCAAGGTCTGCCGCATGATTTCAGGGTTGTTGAGAATATGCCCTATCTCAGGGTTGTGCTGGATCAGCTGCTGCATATGGGGGTTGTCAAGAACCAGCTGGCGCACCAGGCCTGTGTTGGACAGCAGACCCTGGATAAAGGGGTTGTCGATGATCTGAGCCACAAACTCAGACACAGACACGTGCTGCCACAGCAGTGAGCTTGGCTGGTCAGGAAAGCTACCAGAGGTCAGGCCTAGCCCACTGAGGCCAGTGAGGACACCTAAGCTAAAGGTGGGTGGCCCATCTGTTGGGTAAATGGAGTTTGGCTGAGGGAGTGATCCAGAGCTTGGGGCTGGGGTAGGGACTGAAGCAGCTGGGCTCTCCATGCCCATGGTGCGTCGCTGCATTTTGATGACCAGGTGAACAGTGAGGCCATCTTGGACCCCACACTGGGCCAGTGAGTCAGGGTCCTTGAGGATTTTGCCAGCAAAGATTAGGATCAGCTGATCAGGGTGGGCCTTAAAGCGCTGTGATATCTCTTCCTTCAGCTGCTGGATGGTGCAAGTGTCTGTAACTGAGAAATCCTCCTTGTCCTTTGGCGTCTTCACGGTCACCTTGATGAGGTGGGGGTCCTGGACCGGCACTGGGCTGCCCTGAGGCAGGGCCTCTCCACTTTTGGCCATGGTGGGCAGCAGGAGGTCCAAGTCTGTGGGGACACAGCTGGGGGTGGGGTGGGAATGATAGACCTCCATCATCCTTTTGGGCAGTGGTGAAAGTAAGAAAGGTGGACAGGAAGAGGATCTGGGGCCTCAGGGTGGGGGAACTTGAGGGTCCACGTGGAAGGGGCTATGAGGTCCCTGGGATAGGATGCTTTGGGAGGACTTTGGGTTTGAGAGAGTTTGAGGGCCAGGGGAGGGAGGCCTGAGGCCCTGGGAAAGAAGAGGTCTATAGTTGATGAGTGAAGGGGCAAGGGCAGCAAATAGGACCCAGTCTGGGGAATACATACCAGTCAGCTGTGGCCCCGTCCTTCCTCTTATACAGGGCTCCAAACCGCCCTCATCTTGCTGAACAGCCACCCCTGAAGCCTTCTAAGCCAGAACCCACTCCTTCAGGTCACCCCTGTGACCTCAGCATTGACATCACAGCCTCACACAATGGATTCCTGAGACTTCTCCAAGGTGCTCGGGATCCCTGCCGACTTCATCTCCCCCAACCCTGCAACTCTTCTCCTTCCTTTATCTCAATTGCCTTCTTCATAGTGAGGAGTCTGGGCTGACTCTTCCTTCTCAAGCCAAGAGTTCTGCTTTCACACAACCTGGTATGTGGTATGTGGAGACTCACATTGGGACTGGACAACTAGGAAAGGGTCCTTCATCCCTTGCGTCCCCATCAAGACCCAAACTCAGCTGCTCTTCGGTTGAGCTTCTTCTTCCTGGCATCTTATGCCTCTGTCTTCTCTCTGATTCAACATCAGCCATGAATTCTTTATATCTATTTCAACGTATTGATTTTCTGATGGGTGGGATCCAGGATATGAGAGAGAGGTTAAGGATAGAATAAACTTTTTCTTTAACTTTTTATTTTCGTTGTTGTTATTCCTCAGAAAATGCCAAAGAATTAATTGGCTATTTATTGAGGTAAAAATCACCGGGGAATAATGTTGTTAAACATAAAATTAAGAGTTCAGTTTTACATATATTTGAGATGTCTATTTCATATCCAAATGGAAATGTAGGAAGTCCAGTATTGTGAGTCTAGACTTCTTCAGCATTGATAGAGTATTTAGAATCGTGAGATTAATGAGTATAGTGAAAGGATAGGGGTACAAAGACTGAGCCATAGGCAGTACAATATTTAGAAGTCTGGAAGGTTCATCAGATGAATTTAGCAAAGGAAGTTGAGAGCAAGTAAAGCATTGTCAGGAAGTTAAATGAGAGGGAAAGAATCCAACTGAAGAAGGAGAAGAATTTCAGAAGGGGAGAGAGTAACCAACTGTGTCAAATTGTGCTGGTAGGTCAGTAAAATGAACACTGAGAATTGACCACTGGATTTGAACAAGAGAGACCAGTTAGACTGGAGAGCATGGTGAGACTGAGTCTGGACGAGTGGTGAGGGCAGAAAACCTGACTGGAGTGGGTTTAAAAGTAAATGGGTTGGAAAGGAAGTGGATCCAATAAGAGTATTGGAAATGTTAGTGATGGCTGTGTGGAAATACAAAATTAAGGGTTTTTGTTTTGTTTTCCTTAAGATGAGACCATTACAACATGGTTTTATTCGGATGGGAACAATCCAGGGAGGAAGAACACAGTGATGTGAGAAAAACACAAAACAGTGGCAAGAGTAGCTGCTGAGAAGATAGAAGGACTGCAATCAAGTGCCCAAGTGAAGAGCTTGATTTGGGAGCATGGTCAGTGTATTCATTATAACAGGAGGCGGGGCCGAGTATACGGGTACAAAGGCAAGTTAGTTGGTTGATTTAGTGGCAGACATGGGGGAAAGTCACTTTTTGCCATCTTGTTGGAATAAGCAAAATATCACCTGAGACAGAATATATAAAAGGATGTTGAGGGTTTGAGAAGGGCAGAGAAGACATGCAATGATCAACTCAAAAATATAAGGTAGTGAATTGACCAGGGCCTTGGATCTCCAAGCGTGGTCTCTAGACAGACGGCATCAGGATCACCTGGAAATTGGTAGAAATGCACATTTTAGGGGCCCTACCCTAGACCTGCAGAATCAGAAGCCTTTGGAATGAAGCTCAAAAACTTGCGTTTCAACACAGGTTTCTGGTGAAAAAAGTTAGCATAGGAAAATGCAGTAAGAAACACAAACAGAACAGTGAAGGCTTTGGTAATGAAGTTAAATGAGGCTAGTCAACACAATTGTCTGCTTTCGTCTGCCTACATAGAGAAGAGGCAGAGCTGGAGAGAACCATGGTGAGTTTGCTAGGAGGATATTACGCCAGAATAATTAAGACAGAGCAGTACTGAAGCTAGAAAACTGCGGTTAGGAAGCAATAGAAGGCCCCAGGAGGACCCCCCCACCCCACTTCTGAGTCCACAGGGAATGAAGGAAGCAGGCAGCACTGCTGGAGAAGCGGTGTCCTTGGCGGCCAGCCGGACTTCAGTCACAGCAGGAAGGCGAGGGAACGTTTAGGGGAAAGGTTGCCGATACAAGGTTTGTTTCACTGTTGCCAAACTGAGCTCTACATGGTGGGGCGCGATGGTTTGGAGAACTGATGAGTCAGATGAGGGATTTTTCAGAGCACCTAGGGAGAATCAGGACGATGGTCTGAAGAATTTGGGCTTTTTATGTAAACTGAGGACATAAGGCTTAATCGGATTCAGAGAGACATCTTAATGGAGGCGGGTGGTGAAAAATCTGTTCTTGGCTATAATTTTCTTTCTGGAGCTGTATTGTTTTGGTGGGTGGTGGTAGTGGAGTGAGGGGTCTCTGGCAGTAGGTTTACTTGAAGCACTTGGAGCTCAGGGCCTCCTCCAGTCTTGCCGATGGTCATGTCAGGGCTGGAGGAGGGGTGGCTTGTCAGGACCACATGGATGTCTGCGGGCTCTCTTTTCAGTCCAGGATCTGAATGCTTTTCCTCTCCTCCTCTGCTGCTCCTGCCCTAGTCCCAGACACCGCCACCTCCCACTCGCTCTAACTAGTTTTCCTGATTCCAGTTTTTCCTTCTACCACAGTGTATTCCCCACTCAGCAGCCAGACCGATATATTGAATCACTCCATCCCTTCGCCTAAAATCCAGCCGTGATTTTTCTGTTGCATTCATAATAAAATCCAAAGTCCTTACCAGACCTACAAAGCTCTTCATGATTCTGATAATCCTCCTTTTCCCTCTGTCTTTTGGTTCATCCCACTCCAGCCGCACTGCCCCCTTGCTATTCTTCAAACACAAGACTATTCTTACCGCATGGCTTTTGCTCTCATGCAGCCTGCTCTGCCTGGAACATACTTCTCCCAGGGAACTGCATGTGCAGCTCTTCTGCTCAGCTGTCACCTTTCAGAGAGGCCTTCCCTGATGACTCCCTGCTTAGAATCATCTATCCTGCTTCACCGGTCTTTATAGCACTTATCATCACGTAACCTATCACGTAGCTATACATTCAAGTGGTTGTATTCCCACAAAAGAAAGAGAATACACTCCACAAATAAAGGATATTTGTTTTGTCACTGCTGTTTTTTAAGGCCTAACACAATATTTGACTTATTATGGCAAGAGCTTATTAAGTAATCATTGAATAATTGAATCACAATTGTTTACCTGCCAATCGGCTGAGATACTTTTGGTGAGGCAGGAGGTGGCGTGACAGGACCTTGGTTAACTATAGAGAACAAAGCTGCAAACGTCAGATGTGTGGAAGGATGTGATCTTCTTGAAAGGCGCCATGCCCCGTGGGGACCCGGGGTGGCCGTGGCTGGGCTGTGCAGTGAGAGTGGCAGCAGCTCCGTCCCTCTCTGCTGGACAGAACAG